ACAGGACAGTTCTACCGAAACGTCATTACCAAACGGATATTGTGGAAGGGGTCCTTGCCATTAGAACTAGTGAAAGAAGTTCAGTCGTTAGCGTTGGCTAAACCCGTGTTTTAGGTGTGTAATTATACAGTGCCGAACATCCTAACACTATAATCTACAGAAACACGTAGGTCGGAATTCGAAAATGTATAAAAATATCGTGAACGGATCGAATTATCCACGCTATATGGGGGATTTAAATATAGAAAAGATAATTGCTCGTAGATGAAAGCTGTAGTAAGTGTTGAAAAATTTAAGAAGAGATAATGACGTCAAATGAAATTGTAAATTTATAATGTTCCGGAGTGTTTAATTATGCAAATTAGACACGTTAGAAGTTCCTATATTTCTAACGTGTTCTAACACAAAATGCGAGTGTTCATTGTCTAAATTGAAATCTTTGCACCTTCTTACAGGGCTATACTTTTCTTACAAGCTATAACGTGTGAAGGGCCCTTCCCATTTACTAAAAATTTGAGGCCCTAAGCTATAGATTCATAACGGGAGGCCATAAATCTGGCTTTGGTATATTAAAAAGATAAATCAAATTATTATGATTATAAGAACTGTTAGGACCAGATTTAGTGGTCAATAGGGCCTTTTGGCAAGGCCCGAACGCCGAGATAGCCTAAAATTTAGCCTTTCGTGCCAAGATAGGTTCTTACTATTTATTGATTTAATTCCTGTGTTTTTATGACCACGGAAGAGGAGGGAGACCTCATATTTGTGTCTGACCCCTGCCCCATTTGGCCTCTTGTAGGCCCTAATTAGGAGCATCTAGAAATGTAAAAGAGACCCCGTTACCGACAGTTGCTGGTGAACGGCATCACTATTGTTTCTGCTATCGATTATTGAAACCATTTGTTCGAGAACAGCACCAATTTTGCCCCTGGTATCGATTGTTGGAACCAGTTGCTTATTAATTTATTACAAGAAACTTATCAAATTTTATGGGCTTAAATTTAATGCTATATAAAATTATTTAAGTCTAAATAGAGCCCATTTTTTCCAATAAATTCATTGAAGGACCTTCGATATATGTCACATAAGCTGTCTACTAGGTAATAAAAACCTTGTAAAATATTATTAATAATAAAATGTACACCTGTCTAACCGTATGTATATTATTATAAATAAACTTAATTTACATAAAGTATATATAATATAACATTTTATTCAATTTTTTGTAATATAAATTCCGAAATTCTGACCTTGAACGTTCGTGTCGGTATGCAAATATAACTGTATCAATGGCATTGTTTCCATTTTTTTCTTTTACTTATTTAATATTATTCTTAAATTTAAGAATATTTACTTAAAAATATTCGAAGAATATCCTTTTACGGATATTCTTTTATAAAATTATAATATTGTTACATTATTACGTGTAATTCTCATGCAAAACTGGTTGAAAAATAAGGTTATCGCGCTTTTAACGTTAAATTTTCCTGGAAAAATTCCTTTAAATAATAGGGATTTATGTAATAGGGGTGAATTTGTTTATTCTATATTTATATACATAAATGTATTATTGATTCATTGTTAAAATGTGGGACAATTAGGAAGTTAACTCTTATATTTTCGTGATTAGCGGACTTGTAGACAAACAGACGTCTTTTCAAACGTATGTAGGTTGTATGTAAGATATTTTTCACGTAGAAACGGGGCCATCTGGATATTGTATGCAACCCAGGGTGGATGGGGGCCCTTTTACATCTAAGCGGGCCCATTTTGCCCTTTAGAGGACCCCTTTTGCCATTAATTTCATTAAGAAATAAGCTGTGTTGGTAAAAATCACGTTAATTTATAGGAATCACTAAGGGCCCCCTAATTTTTATCCGGGCCCCTGATATGTCCTTAGTTCTCCCCCCTCTCGAAGGCCCTGCTTAGAAAAAAGCTATATTAACTCTTTTCTAAGTATATACAGTATGTACTGTAGGCCTATGGATGTGTCAATACTCGTTCGTTTGTCTGTACGTCTTCTTAAATTATATAAATAAATACCTTTTAGAGAAATGAATCTTACAGCTTTTATAAGAATTTACCTTTTGTGTTTAGCTTCTTCAATCTCTTTCTTTTGTTGTAATTTTCATTCATACCTTGTAAAAAGAAGAATTAATTTGTTATTTCTTACAAGAATGAAATAGAAGGTAGATTGTTAAAGTCGATTTCTTTAACGACATTTATTTAATTCAAGTAGATAGACAAACAGACGTGCTTTGAAATGTATATAGGTTGCATATACATTAGTATTTTAACTCAGAAAAGTTAGAAAAGAATTATTTCTTATATTTTTTACAAGTAAAACTGAATATATAACCTATATACGTTTCAAAGCACGTCTGTTTGTCTGTCTGCTTTTAGAGATACTCAATTTTTATGAGTTGAAGGTTGTTTTTTTTTGTTTGGTTTCTTCAGTTTCGTTTACTTTCCTTTAATTTCTATTCATAATTCATAAAAGAAGAAAAATTTGTATGATAATTTATCCTTTATACAATAAAAGAATAAATTCGAAGCTAAGCAATACAAAATTTAATTTTAATAAAAGCTAAACGAACGATTCGTGTAAAGATATTTATATAATTCAAGCGGATAGACAAACAGACGTGTTTCAAAACCTGTATACATTCATACGCGAGTTAATTTTTTTTTTGCTTTCATAACGTAGTTATGAGTTAAAAATACGAATGTGTATGCAATCTGTACGGGTTTCATAATACGTGCATTTGTCTGTATGTCTGCCCGAATTAAATACAGCTGAAGAAATCAGCCCTCGACTCATATACCAATTGATTCTGGTGTTGTTTAGCTTGTCGTAATTTTCATTCATAAGAAATGCCACGAATGAATGAAGAAGTTTCTCAAGAAAATCCTTATTGTGTGTGTGTGTTACGTATTGTTCGATGTATCTTTTATACATGATACTACTTTAAACAATTGGGCGTTCACCAAAAAATTAATCTATCGGCACTAACATTGCTCCACCCTTACATTTACTAAATATTTTACACTTTCAATTATGAGAAAAGGGCGTTTTATAAGTGTAAATTTCTTCTATTTTTTATGTGTTAAAATGTTAAAATATATAAGGTTTTATATATTTAATTATTCTTCTATATTTATGAATAAATTAACGAGAGATATTCGTTATCGTAATTTAAATGATGTGTGACGTGTTTAGTGATTCTTTGTATCGTGTACAGGAGGGAGGACGGAATGAATATAAGCTGTATTCGTTATGTGTACGCTGTAAAGGGGCCAAAATATAAATAAATAATGAATTTTTTTTAGAAGCTATTCATGCCTTAGTTAATATGCTTAAGCTTAAGTGATGGGTGGAGACGTCGACTCGTCTTTGGGACAATTGACCTGAAGGTTTAGTGTGTTTTTTATCCCACCGTACAGGTACGATGACCGTCCATTCCGCCCACAAAAATCTAGAACTGGAGCCATTTTTTTTCTTATTTTATTGACGTAAACTATAATTTAAACTCGAGAAAACTAATTTAAATCATCGAAATGACACATCTGTACCGCGTAAACAGTAAAAGTGCAGTTTAAGTGCGTAAATGTCAATAGTAAAAGTGCAATTTAAGTGTTTAGACGTTGCTGCTTTTATACACTTAAACTGCAGCAAAAATAAGCTTATTTTGCGTTAAATTATTTAAAATACAGTATTTTTCGAATTCGTAACGAGTTTTAGAAGGCATTTTATACGAAGCGGAACGGATGTAGTAAAGTTAATTATATTGCGCGAGCGCGAAAGGGTCGACTTTCATGAGCCTCGAGCTGTACAGCGTTATAAGGTTTTTACGCTCATTTACTTATAGGTGTGAATGCTCGCTCCAGTCCGGTCTAGTTGTGAGATAAGTAAGAAAACCGGTGTTGCCACGAAATTTCGTTGATGATGACGACTCCGGGGAGGGGGGTCGAATCGATTGAGGTCGTACCCAAACTGATTCTAACCTTATTTTTCTTCTATGCAAACGTCGAGTTTCGTAACCGGATCGAAGGCATATTTTTTAAAAACAATTAATTATTTATAAAGTATTTTTCAAGTGTAAAATTTATAAGGAAACATATGAGAAATCTGTACTTATGTGTAACCGGGAGATGCAGTTATTAATGAAGAATGAATGCGCTTTTCTTCCCTAAAGATGGAATTACGTCCCTATACTCTTAAAGAGAAAATTCTAGCTCGTCCTTACTTACGCATTGTCCCTAAAATCCTCAAAGATTCAAAAATTAAAGGCTTATTCCTGTTTATAAATTGTCTGTCTATTGCTTACCTTATATACCTGCTGTCTCTGTGACCTTAAAGACAAAACTGTACCTTTGGCTTGATCTATTTATGAACTTACTTCCTTAATGCACATACAACTGTCCGTATCTATAGGCAGAAAAAAACCTTATACTTTACTCCTATTTATGCAACTATTTCCATATCCCTAAAGGCAATAGTTTATGCATTGTGTTTGTTTTCCTATGACTTACTCCTATTTATAAGGGCAGAAACTCCAGTATATAAGGGCCAAAGATAGAATTACTTGTTTTATCCCTATATCCCTAAGCTTATACTATATGTATGCTATCTAATATCCCTAAAACTCGAAGCTATAGCAATAGAGAATAGAAATTTTGTATCCGTCAGAGTGTCTGTCGGACAAGACTTCGCGAAACAACAAAGTGAATCAAAGGCATTTTAACACGTAGGCCTGTAAATATAGAGAATAGTTATCTCATAACACTAAAATCTCGTTTATGTAAATAAAAAGTATTCTATTTTATTATAAAGTAATTAAATAGAATGCAATTAATTTAATTCGGGTCAATTTTTGTAATTAAAAAGTTGAATTAACGAGGTATCGATAACATTAATTCTCTGGTTTCAACAATGCTTAACAAATGGGAATTGTGGTATTTATCAATGCCTAACGATCGAGTAACCTCGTAGTTAATTTGCATAAGTTCAAATTTATATTTAGAAATTCTAGAATAAAAATATTTAGAACAATTTCGGGGCATTCGATTTGCTCGAAATCTGTTTGTAAATTCGATGATAAAATGGAAAATAATACAGAAATTAAGCTCGTAAGTGTCAAAATTCCATTTTTCTTTAGTTTAAATTACGTATGGAGCTTCAGAATGCCCGGTATAAGAATCCTTATACTGGATATAAGGATATCCGGTGTAAGGATGAGCGTTCGATCCTTGACATTGAAAATTTAGGGCTTCTATCTCTATTGATTTTCGGATGAAGTAGTAGACAAACGAACGAACGGATACAAATGCTAGTGTAAGTTATTTTCAAAGCGTACAGACAAACTGCTAGTTTAAGCAATTACGTAAAAAAAGTATTTAATTGTTTATAAACACGATTCATTTCAAATTCGAATTTCTCGCCTCGTGATAGGTTAATTCAAAATTTTCGTAGCATCGATCCGCGCTCGTATTGGATATGCTTTATAACATTCCAACGAATGAATGCCAGTAAACATTAAGCGTCACTTCCGGCAATCGTCACTCTCCGATGACAGACTGATGACCGTTTAATAAGTGTAACGCGTCACTTCCGGTGATTCGTACACCCTCGACGACCTTCATTCGTGCGAAATTAATATGGATTAGCGTTAATTTATGAGTATAATTGACAGATTGACGATGAAACTGTTCGAAATTTCATAAGTGTGACGTTAATAAATAATAAATATAAATATAAATTAATACGAAAATAACCCGTCGAAACGACGTGGTTATCATTATTATTATTATTATTATTTTTTTAATGTCGGAAGTGACGTCGGGCATTTCCGGCCACGTGACCTGCCACTTTTACGCGGTAGGATATTCAAATTTTCACACTCAACGTGTCGTTGTCGGCGCTTCCAGAAAGAATAATTCTAGAGAAAAATAAAGCGAAAAGTCACGTAAGCTTATTAATTTCGGTTTATTTTAATAATATTATTAATTATAAAGTTACTTAAAACGTTTTTTTTATAATTATATTAAGTAAAGGTTAATTGTAATCATCATTAGTTAATTTTTATTCTCATTTTACAATGATAAATGGTAATTTTAGTATTAATTTACCAGAAATTCGTACTGTTTGTCTGTCTGTCTTTCCTTAATCTCGATAGACAAAAGCCTATATGGAAAGATTATGGGCAGGAGAACCCCAATTATTCCATAGATGCTTTTGAATTTGTCAAAACTTTATTGGCCTAAGGATCGTGTATTTATTTATATTTTCAGTTAGCCGAATTAAAGACTAAGGATCGCGAAATCAAACAACTCAGAAGAGAATTGTGCATACTTCACGAAAGGAATAGTTTCTGGTTGAAGCATCAATGCAGACACAAGAGGCTGGAAGCCAGAAACTCGAACGATGACTCGAAGAACCTCACTGTTAACGAAGCAACCGAGGAAGGCAAAATAAACCTGGGTGTAAGAATGGTGGATTATATTAACACAATAAGTATCTTTCGGTTTTTGACACTAGAGATCGATGTAATTGTTTATATCTGTTAGGTCTGTGGATCGAGTAGAAAGAATCCAAACAAAAGGAAGTATACTTCCAACAGCAATGAGGCAAGATGATTGTTTTATAGATTAAAGTAGTGTTTAGTACGAGTTTAACTATGTTACTTGTTATAGAGTTCGGATTTAGACGATAGATCGAGTAGCAGCGAAACCAATGTAAGAAGAAAGGAAAGAAAAATATTAAAGACAAGTCAAGTGAGTATCACACACTTAATTAATACCGAATATTCACTCAATCACTAAAAGTTTGTATTTCAATACGTAGGTGCCAGAGATCATGTACAAAAGACTGTTTAAGGAACACTTGGAGCTACAACGTTCGTTCTCCTTGTTTCGTCAGATAGTCAGCGAGAAGAAAGGGGAAGAAATCAAAAATAAAGTAAGATTTAGTTGGGATATTAATTAATTTTGCAATTATTTCTACGTTGGAAACATAATTTTCTCTCTTAATTGAAATTTCAGAATGTCGTTAGTCTGGCCGACGAGAATCAGAAATTGGGGCACATCGCTCTTCACTTAAAAAATAAAAGACAAAANTAATCCTTGGCTCAAACTAAAATTTAAGGTCAAGCCGAAGCTGTTGCTGCAAATTTAAGCTCTAGCTCAGTTTAATCCTCGGTTCAAACTAAAATTTAAGGTCAAGCTGAAGCTGGTGATGCAAATTTAAGCTCTAGCTCAAGTTTAAATGTAAGTTTTGAGCTGAAACTTGAGTTATGACTCAAAACTTAAGCTCAAACTCAAGTTTGATTTAAAGCTCAAGCTAAAATTTAATCTGTTTTCAACGTTTAAAGTTGAGTTATAGCTTACGTTTCAACTAGTACTAAAGCCCAAATTTTGGTTTGAGCTTAAATTAATGTTGAAGATAAAATTTGAGCTGCTCGACGTTAGACTCAAGTTCACGATAAGCTGAAAAATGTTTCTTTTTTTTGGACGGTGAAAGTGTTAATTTGATACCGCAATGATTTAATTTATGGTCACTGTTATAATAAATATAAAATGTAATTTATGTGGGTGACAAATGATATGATGTAGGAGCTGTTAATGGTATATTAAACACGAAGAAAAATCTCCTCCTCCTGACCATGATGATGATAATGATGATTAATCAGAATCACGTTAAGGTAGTAATATAAATTTGGTTATTATTCTTTTCATTATTTTATTTCAAATCCTTCTCTCCCCTTACAATTAATCATAAAACACTTAAAATTCGAAATGTAAACAAATAAATTTAGTATTTTAAGGCATAAAGTAAGCCACAACAGTTGGAAATTTATTTGTAAAGCCTTTGGTTTTAAGGGCATTTCTTTATCCGTGTTTACTGACATAATAAGGAAAGACGTTTAATTTTCTAGAACTTTTATAAAAGCTTCACTTAAGCTTGTTGTGGGCCTAATCTACAACATATAATAGGCCCTCCCTTCCACCAAATAATGGTACACGTAAAGATGTGATGGCCTAAACTAGAGACTCGTAACGCGAGGCCCTATTAACCGACTTTCGGGCCACCCCGTATTTAAAAACTCGCTGCGAACATCGTTTTTTTTTTCTTTGTGTTCAAATGTTCCGAATTTTAGTTCATTGGCGGTAATTGCACAGGACAGTTCTACCGAAACGTCATTACCAAACGGATATTGTGGAAGGGGTCCTTGCCATTAGAACTAGTGAAAGAAGTTCAGTCGTTAGCGTTGGCTAAACCCGTGTTTTAGGTGTGTAATTATACAGTGCCGAACATCCTAACACTATAATCTACAGAAACACGTAGGTCGGAATTCGAAAATGTATAAAAATATCGTGAACGGATCGAATTATCCACGCTATATGGGGGATTTAAATATAGAAAAGGTAATTGCTCGTAGATGAAAGCTGTAGTAAGTGTTGAAAAATTTAAGAAGAGATAATGACGTCAAATGAAATTGTAAATTTATAATGTTCCGGAGTGTTTAATTATGCAAATTAGACACGTTAGAAGTTCCTATATTTCTAACGTGTTCTAACACAAAATGCGAGTGTTCATTGTCTAAATTGAAATCTTTGCACCTTCTTACAGGGCTATACTTTTCTTACAAGCTATAACGTGTGAAGGGCCCTTCCCATTTACTAAAAATTTGAGGCCCTAAGCTATAGATTCATAACGGGAGGCCATAAATCTGGCTTTGGTATATTAAAAAGATAAATCAAATTATTATGATTATAAGAACTGTTAGGACCAGATTTAGTGGTCAATAGGGCCTTTTGGCAAGGCCCGAACGCCGAGATAGCCTAAAATTTAGCCTTTCGTGCCAAGATAGGTTCTTACTATTTATTGATTTAATTCCTGTGTTTTTATGACCACGGAAGAGGAGGGAGACCTCATATTTGTGTCTGACCCCTGCCCCATATGGCCTCTTGTAGGCCCTAATTAGGAGCATCTAGAAATGTAAAAGAGACCCCGTTACCGACAGTTGCTGGTGAACGGCATCACTATTGTTTCTGCTATCGATTATTGAAACCATTTGTTCGAGAACAGCACCAATTTTGCCCCTGGTATCGATTGTTGGAACCAGTTGCTTATTAATTTATTACAAGAAACTTATCAAATTTTATGGGCTTAAATTTAATGCTATATAAAATTATTTAAGTCTAAATAGAGCCCATTTTTTCCAATAAATTCATTGAAGGACCTTCGATATATGTCACATAAGCTGTCTACTAGGTAATAAAAACCTTGTAAAATATTATTAATAATAAAATGTACACCTGTCTAACCGTATGTATATTATTATAAATAAACTTAATTTACATAAAGTATATATAATATAACATTTTATTCAATTTTTTGTAATATAAATTCCGAAATTCTGACCTTGAACGTTCGTGTCGGTATGCAAATATAACTGTATCAATGGCATTGTTTCCATTTTTTTCTTTTACTTATTTAATATTATTCCTAAATTTAAGAATATTTACTTAAAAATATTCGAAGAATATCCTTTTACGGATATTCTTTTATAAAATTATAATATTGTTACATTATTACGTGTAATTCTCATGCAAAACTGGTTGAAAAATAAGGTTATCGCGCTTTTAACGTTAAATTTTCCTGGAAAAATTCCTTTAAATAATAGGGATTTATGTAATAGGGGTGAATTTGTTTATTCTATATTTATATACATAAATGTATTATTGATTCATTGTTAAAATGTGGGACAATTAGGAAGTTAACTCTTATATTTTCGTGATTAGCGGACTTGTAGACAAACAGACGTCTTTTCAAACGTATGTAGGTTGTATGTAAGATATTTTTCACGTAGAAACGGGGCCATCTGGATATTGTATGCAACCNAAAATTTATAAGGAAACATATGAGAAATCTGTACTAATAGGGGTGAATTTGTTTATTCTATATTTATATACATAAATGTATTATTGATTCATTGTTAAAATGTGGGACAATTAGGAAGTTAACTCTTATATTTTCGTGATTAGCGGACTTGTAGACAAACAGACGTCTTTTCAAACGTATGTAGGTTGTATGTAAGATATTTTTCACGTAGAAACGGGGCCATCTGGATATTGTATGCAACCCAGGGTGGATGGGGGCCCTTTTACATCTAAGCGGGCCCATTTTGCCCTTTAGAGGACCCCTTTTGCCATTAATTTCATTAAGAAATAAGCTGTGTTGGTAAAAATCAGGTTAATTTATAGGAATCACTAAGGGCCCCCTAATTTTTATCCGGGCCCCTGATATGTCCTTAGTTCTCCCCCCTCTCGAAGGCCCTGCTTAGAAAAAAGCTATATTAACTCTTTTCTAAGTATATACAGTATGTACTGTAGGCCTATGGACGTGTCAATACTCGTTCGTTTGTCTGTACGTCTTCTTAAATTATATAAATAAATAAAAATAAAAATGGGGGATTTAAACGAATACGAATAAGAGAATTAATTGTTAATTGTGGAACGTCGTATGTAGGTCTGTGGAAGTGGCGACGAGTTGTAAAAAAATGTCAGAAAAACGTGAAAAAAAATGAGGTCAGTTTTATTAGGGGTCAAGATGACCTCTTTAAATAANCTTTTCTAAGTATATACAGTATGTACTGTAGGCCTATGGATGTGTCAATACTCGTTCGTTTGTCTGTACGTCTTCTTAAATTATATAAATAAATACCTTTTAGAGAAATGAATCTTACAGCTTTTATAAGAATTTACCTTTTGTGTTTAGCTTCTTCAATCTCTTTCTTTTGTTGTAATTTTCATTCATACTTTGTAAAAAGACGAATTAATTTGTTATTTCTTACAAGAATGAAATAGAAGGTAGATTGTTAAAGTCGATTTCTTTAACGACATTTATTTAATTCAAGTAGATAGACAAACAGACGTGCTTTGAAATGTATATAGGTTGCATATACATTAGTATTTTAACTCAGAAAAGTTAGAAAAGAATTATTTCTTATATTTTTTACAAGTAAAACTGAATATATAACCTATATACGTTTCAAAGCACGTCTGTTTGTCTGTCTGCTTTTAGAGATACTCAATTTTTATGAGTTGAAGGTTGTTTTTTTTTGTTTGGTTTCTTCAGTTTCGTTTACTTTCCTTTAATTTCTATTCATAATTCATAAAAGAAGAAAAATTTGTATGATAATTTATCCTTTATACAATAAAAGAATAAATTCGAAGCTAAGCAATACAAAATTTAATTTTAATAAAAGCTAAACGAACGATTCGTGTAAAGATATTTATATAATTCAAGCGGATAGACAAACAGACGTGTTTCAAAACCTGTATACATTCATACGCGAGTTAATTTTTTTTTTGCTTTCATAACGTAGTTATGAGTTAAAAATACGAATTTGTATGCAATCTGTACGGGTTTCATAATACGTGCATTTGTCTGTATGTCTGCCCGAATTAAATACAGCTGAAGAAATCAGCCCTCGACTCATATACCAATTGATTCTGGTGTTGTTTAGCTTGTCGTAATTTTCATTCATAAGAAATGCCACGAATGAATGAAGAAGTTTCTCAAGAAAATCCTTATTGTGTGTGTGTGTTACGTATTGTTCGATGTATCTTTTATACATGATACTACTTTAAACAATTGGGCGTTCACCAAAAAATTAATCTATCGGCACTAACATTGCTCCACCCTTACATTTACTAAATATTTTACACTTTCAATTATGAGAAAAGGGCGTTTTATAAGTGTAAATTTCTTCTATTTTTTATGTGTTAAAATGTTAAAATATATAAGGTTTTATATATTTAATTATTCTTCTATATTTATGAATAAATTAACGAGAGATATTCGTTATCGTAATTTAAATGATGTGTGACGTGTTTAGTGATTCTTTGTATCGTGTACAGGAGGGAGGACGGAATGAATATAAGCTGTATTCGTTATGTGTACGCTGTAAAGGGGCCAAAATATAAATAAATAATGAATTTTTTTTAGAAGCTATTCATGCCTTAGTTAATATGCTTAAGCTTAAGTGATGGGTGGAGACGTCGACTCGTCTTTGGGACAATTGACCTGAAGGTTTAGTGTGTTTTTTATCCCACCGTACAGGTACGATGACCGTCCATTCCGCCCACAAAAATCTAGAACTGGAGCCATTTTTTTTCTTATTTTATTGACGTAAACTATAATTTAAACTCGAGAAAACTAATTTAAATCATCGAAATGACACATCTGTACCGCGTAAACAGTAAAAGTGCAGTTTAAGTGCGTAAATGTCAATAGTAAAAGTGCAATTTAAGTGTTTAGACGTTGCTGCTTTTATACACTTAAACTGCAGCAAAAATAAGCTTATTTTGCGTTAAATTATTTAAAATACAGTATTTTTCGAATTCGTAACGAGTTTTAGAAGGCATTTTATACGAAGCGGAACGGATGTAGTAAAGTTAATTATATTGCGCGAGCGCGAAAGGGTCGACTTTCATGAGCCTCGAGCTGTACAGCGTTATAAGGTTTTTACGCTCATTTACTTATAGGTGTGAATGCTCGCTCCAGTCCGGTCTAGTTGTGAGATAAGTAAGAAAACCGGTGTTGCCACGAAATTTCGTTGATGATGACGACTCCGGGGAGGGGGGTCGAATCGATTGAGGTCGTACCCAAACTGATTCTAACCTTATTTTTCTTCTATGCAAACGTCGAGTTTCGTAACCGGATCGAAGGCATATTTTTTAAAAACAATTAATTATTTATAAAGTATTTTTCAAGTGTAAAATTTATAAGGAAACATATGAGAAATCTGTACTTATGTGTAACCGGGAGATGCAGTTATTAATGAAGAATGAATGCGCTTTTCTTCCCTAAAGATGGAATTACGTCCCTATACTCTTAAAGAGAAAATTCTAGCTCGTCCTTACTTACGCATTGTCCCTAAAATCCTCAAAGATTCAAAAATTAAAGGCTTATTCCTGTTTATAAATTGTCTGTCTATTGCTTACCTTATATACCTGCTGTCTCTGTGACCTTAAAGACAAAACTGTACCTTTGGCTTGATCTATTTATGAACTTACTTCCTTAATGCACATACAACTGTCCCTATCTATAGGCAGAAAAAAACCTTATACTTTACTCCTATTTATGCAACTATTTCCATATCCCTAAAGGCAATAGTTTATGCATTGTGTTTGTTTTCCTATGACTTACTCCTATTTATAAGGGCAGAAACTCCAGTATATAAGGGCCAAAGATAGAATTACTTGTTTTATCCCTATATCCCTAAGCTTATACTATATGTATGCTATCTAATATCCCTAAAACTCGAAGCTATAGCAATAGAGAATAGAAATTTTGTATCCGTCAGAGTGTCTGTCGGACAAGACTTCGCGAAACAACAAAGTGAATCAAAGGCATTTTAACACGTAGGCCTGTAAATATAGAGAATAGTTATCTCATAACACTAAAATCTCGTTTATGTAAATAAAAAGTATTCTATTTTATTATAAAGTAATTAAATAGAATGCAATTAATTTAATTCGGGTCAATTTTTGTAATTAAAAAGTTGAATTAACGAGGTATCGATAACATTAATTCTCTGGTTTCAACAATGCTTAACAAATGGGAATTGTGGTATTTATCAATGCCTAACGATCGAGTAACCTCGTAGCTAATTTGCATAAGTTCAAATTTATATTTAGAAATTCTAGAATAAAAATATTTAGAACAATTTCGGGGCATTCGATTTGCTCGAAATCTGTTTGTAAATTCGATGATAAAATGGAAAATAATACAGAAATTAAGCTCGTAAGTGTCAAAATTCCATTTTTCTTTACTTTAAATTACGTATGGAGCTTCAGAATGCCCGGTATAAGAATCCTTATACTGGATATAAGGATATCCGGTGTAAGGATGAGCGTTCGATCCTTGACATTGAAAATTTAGGGCTTCTATCTCTATTGATTTTCGGATGAAGTAGTAGACAAACGAACGAACGGATACAAATGCTAGTGTAAGTTATTTTCAAAGCGTACAGACAAACTGCTAGTTTAAGCAATTACGTAAAAAAAGTATTTAATTGTTTATAAACACGATTCATTTCAAATTCGAATTTCTCGCCTCGTGATAGGTTAATTCAAAATTTTCGTAGCATCGATCCGCGCTCGTATTGGATATGCTTTATAACATTCCAACGAATGAATGCCAGTAAACATTAAGCGTCACTTCCGGCAATCGTCACTCTCCGATGACAGACTGATGACCGTTTAATAAGTGTAACGCGTCACTTCCGGTGATTCGTACACCCTCGACGACCTTCATTCGTGCGAAATTAATATGGATTAGCGTTAATTTATGAGTATAATTGACAGATTGACGATGAAACTGTTCGAAATTTCATAAGTGTGACGTTAATAAATAATAAATATAAATATAAATTAATACGAAAATAACCCGTCGAAACGACGTGGTTATCATTATTATTATTATTATTATTTTTTTAATGTCGGAAGTGACGTCGGGCATTTCCGGCCACGTGACCTGCCACTTTTACGCGGTAGGATATTCAAATTTTCACACTCAACGTGTCGTTGTCGGCGCTTCCAGAAAGAATAATTCTAGAGAAAAATAAAGCGAAAAGTCACGTAAGCTTATTAATTTCGGTTTATTTTAATAATATTATTAATTATAAAGTTACTTAAAACGTTTTTTTTATAATTATATTAAGTAAAGGTTAATTGTAATCATCATTAGTTAATTTTTATTCTCATTTTACAATGATAAATGGTAATTTTAGTATTAATTTACCAGAAATTCGTACTGTTTGTCTGTCTGTCTTTCCTTAATCTCGATAGACAAAAGCCTATATGGAAAGATTATGGGCAGGAGAACCCCAATTATTCCATAGATGCTTTTGAATTTGTCAAAACTTTATTGGCCTAAGGATCGTGTATTTATTTATATTTTCAGTTAGCCGAATTAAAGACTAAGGATCGCGAAATCAAACAACTCAGAAGAGAATTGTGCATACTTCACGAAAGGAATAGTTTCTGGTTGAAGCATCAATGCAGACACAAGAGGCTGGAAGCCAGAAACTCGAACGATGACTCGAAGAACCTCACTGTTAACGAAGCAACCGAGGAAGGCAAAATAAACCTGGGTGTAAGAATGGTGGATTATATTAACACAATAAGTATCTTTCGGTTTTTGACACTAGAGATCGATGTAATTGTTTATATCTGTTAGGTCTGTGGATCGAGTAGAAAGAATCCAAACAAAAGGAAGTATACTTCCAACAGCAATGAGGCAAGATGATTGTTTTATAGATTAAAGTAGTGTTTAGTACGAGTTTAACTATGTTACTTGTTATAGAGTTCGGATTTAGACGATAGATCGAGTAGCAGCGAAACCAATGTAAGAAGAAAGGAAAGAAAAATATTAAAGACAAGTCAAGTGAGTATCACACACTTAATTAATACCGAATATTCACTCAATCACTAAAAGTTTGTATTTCAATACGTAGGTGCCAGAGATCATGTACAAAAGACTGTTTAAGGAACACTTGGAGCTACAACGTTCGTTCTCCTTGTTTCGTCAGATAGTCAGCGAGAAGAAAGGGGAAGAAATCAAAAATAAAGTAAGATTTAGTTGGGATATTAATTAATTTTGCAATTATTTCTACGTTGGAAACATAATTTTCTCTCTTAATTGAAATTTCAGAATGTCGTTAGTCTGGCCGACGAGAATCAGAAATTGGGGCACATCGCTCTTCACTTAAAAAATAAAGTGAGATTAAAAAATATAATCTTTAATTATTTAATCTTAAAAATTCTTACAAATGAAATAATAATTATATTTTGTTTAAAAGAAACATTAAATGTCCTCTCTTTGTTTTTATGAAAACAGTTTTAAATGAAATATATTTTTATATTTTTAGTAATTTTTCAAAAAACTAAACTGATTAATACATTTTAAATTAATAATTTATAAATAGTTTTACACATATACGTTGACACTATAGACCCTATTTTGTGACCACCCGCTTTATAACCCTCTGTTTTTGAATTAGAGCGGTCATAAAAGCAAGCAACTGTAATACAAGAGTTATAAAGCAAACATTTGTAATGCGAGGATCTCGAAGCAAATACCAGTAATAGTAGGGTGAGGATTTGATAAAAATTCGGCTCTGCGTGAGTAAGTCCGAATCTTATAATGGGCAGTAAAATTTTGAAGTGTACAGACAATTTCATTGCCACACTGGTAGAAGGCCAAAAGCACCTTACTCGACGCAGGAGAAACCAGTGGATCTCTTCAAGAGTATGGTAGAAGAAAGTTGTAAGTTGCCAAGTCACGGCAGAGTCCATTGCTGAGTAACTTCTGGGAATCTTTTTAATTTTTGGAAACTTCTGAAGAAAAATGTAGAAGGGCTGCACTTTAAGCGAGCCAAAACATATACTTGTCCAGAAGTTTAACACACGATGACCTCCCAAATAAGACCGCAGTTCTCCCCCCACAATTCTGGCACTTATTATCATCTAGAAAAGTGTTGATTTAATCACAACTCGCTACCAGTCTATGATTCCAGAATATTGATTTTTGGCAAATTGCTTCAGGTACTTTGGATTATTTTTTCTAATTTCAAATATAGTTTAGGATTTTTATTAGTTCCTTCAACTCTGTAATGGGCAAGAGTGTGTTATATCTTTTCTTCTATCCACTTCTTAATGGCATCAATGTTCACACAATGGTAACGAGGACGTTGCTATCTTTGTCTGCTGCAAAAGGTTTAAATAATGACAGAAATATATTCAAGTATTTCAATATATTCAGTATATTGATCTTCAAATTAGCCCAATTACTATTACTTTTTCCTTTAATCAAGGTTTTCTTTGTAAGGCCAGTTTTTAATACGATGCCGGAGCCAATTATATTGTATACAATACAGGTACACAACCGAATTTTCAACACTCTTTGTTTCAAAGCCTTGCCGGACCAACCGTGGTCGCGTATAACAATAAATCATCGTAGAACCCAATAACTATACACCTCTTACGTGTCTAAAGTATACCACGGGTTGCTAGATAATTAAATATATATTAATATAAATAATTTTTTGTGTTTTTATTTAAAAATTTGATAATCCTTAACTTACAAACGAATTCTTTTAGATTCAAAAGTTGCGCCGTGAACTGAAAGAAAGTCAAGATCAGAATGAATTGTTAGAGTTTTGCGTGTTGGAAATTGAAAATCAAGGAAAGGTAACGGATTTTCTTTTCATGTGTTTACAAATTTCGTTTTGTACGGCTTGTTTTAACTAGGGAAGATTTTAGCTAAATAAGCTAGTCAATACGCGATTCTACGTTGAACTGAGTAACAAACTATTATGATTTTCAATTACATGACGGCCAGGCGGCCGATATGGGCTTATACCATTTATGGGGGACGAAAGATCGAGTCTGGATAAGGTTAGCCGTTCTTTTGCCATCTGTCCTCCCTCTGGTTTTATAATAAAAGGCCCTCTTAATGCAAAAGGCATTAAAGGAGCCTTTTAAAAAGTTTAAATATAAACTTTTTATTTTGCCATTTTCGATTAAAATTGATTAATTTTGATTAGTCGGCATCGAAACCGGTGGATTGCGGAGTAAATACCGAAAGATTTCCGGTTTGCTCTACTACCAGGAGCTCCGAATTTGATTCGTCGGTTTCGTCCTCCACGTCAGACGATTTAAATGTAAGTATTAAAATTTAAATATCAAAACTTTTTGCTTTCCTTCCTCTCCCTTTTGCGGCTAATTAATTGTAACGATTACAGTTTTCATTGATGGAAATTTGTAATTTTGTAGGAAAAGAAGGTAACGGAATTAAAGAATAGTTTAAAGGAATTATACTGCATTCAGGTAGGATTCCGATAAGATAAAATTCCTTTAATAATAAGCAATTTTGTATTGTAACTAATTGAGTCCTATTTTTGAAAATTTCAGGATTCGACTTCCGACCGTTCTGTTCTAATAAAAGCGGCATCTTGTATCCAAAACAGTTATAACACCGTATGCAACTTACAAAACGATGTTAACAATTTGAAGAAACGTCTGGAAGAAATTACGGGAGAAAAGGTAAAGTATTTTATGTGACACGTAAGAAACTTAATCGCCCCTCGTCTAATCTCAGTGCTAAAAGTGGCATTCGGGTTAGAGCACTAGTGTGCCCTAAAACACACTAGCTGTAGGGGTATACAGGTTGTAAAGGCTAACGTTAAGGTACCGACTTCGCTATATAGAACTTTGGCTGTAAAAAAAAGAAAAAAAAAATATATATATATATATACACGCCAAATCGTATGCTTGCTAAGCGAGGAAGAAATTTAAAGTTTCTGTTCGCCTACTTTGAATGGCCGAATTGTCGCGTACCCCACCAAGGCTTGTGTTAGAAATACAGTACGACTTAAATTGAATAAAATGTCTTTAATTATTTTAAAAGTAAGTAAGCCCTTTTTATGTGTTACAGGAAGATCAGACTCGTTCCAATTGCGAACTTTCGAAAAATTACGAACAATGCAAAGAACATTTGGAAGAAACAAAATCGGTATTTAATTAATTAATAAGAATTAATTAAAACATTGTTATCTTTTATTAATTATTCTCTTGTTTTTTCCAGCAACTGATAGATATTTCGGAAAAATTAGCAGCGGTTGAAAAAAGAGAAGAGAATTTGTACCTTTCCGAACAAATGAATGTAAAATTTAAAGAATTCCTTCGAGTGATTCTGCAGGATACTTACACGTTATTGAATTATTCCAATAAGAAAGAAAACGACGTGGAAATTTTGAAAAATAAACTTAATGAACTTCATAAAATAGAAAAAGTTAGTGGCTTAAATGTTACCATTGTATATTTATAAATTAGCGTATTGATTGTGCTTGCAATATGAAATATATTGTATTGTGTATTTTGTAGGAAGCCGTTTCACAAGCCAAAATTGCTGGGACTCTGCAAGCCTCACCAAACCCTCTATTATCGGAGATTGGGGAGGGAGTAATTTATAAATTTGTAACGTTTGCCGAAAACTTCAACCTGTCGCAGGACGTGGCATCCGAAACGTCGGAAAACGACTGCGAAATTCGAGAACTTCGTATGACGTTACAAAAACAAGACCTGCTGATCGAAAACTATGCCAGGCAACAAGAAGAACTCTTTAACAGCTACAACGAGTTAACCTCGAAGTTAGCCGAACACGAGTCGATTAAGTACGATCTCACTCAAAAAATAAACATGCTAGAAAAATCCGAACAGGATCTGGTGGAAAAGAATTTGAAATTGTATATCGATTACGTGTCGGCTAAAGAGGAGGTACAGAAATTACTAATCGAACTGGAAAACAGGCAGGAGTTTTTATCTTCCGGTTCGTCTCGAGGAGTTCACGAGGATTCGGTGCAAAGTGCCGAAATCAAGAGGACACTCAGTGAAGAATCGGACCCGTTGGGTACGATGACCAGCGAAGACGAGGGTCTGGGAGAAGAAAGGAGGGGAGATTCGACCGGACCCAGCAGTCTTGCCGACCTTCAGGAATCTGAAGAAGATATACTTAATCGAACGTCGGATTTCGAATCCGAAACGGTGGAAGATCATAATTTGGACTTGGAGATTTCTCAGAACAGTTTGTTAGAAGTGGGAATCGACACTCAGGAATTCATGGAGCATCAGAAGATGAAATCCGAGTGGAAGAAAGAAATGGATCGATTAAGAGAAAGAGAGAAAGAATTGACCAAACAGTTAAATTGTTCGCAAAATTTGATTTCTAAATTATATAAAAGTATTAAAGTTAAAGAAGAGCAAGTCAGAAAGCTGCTTCAAGAAAATTGTACGAGAAATCACGAGAACTGCCAGGAACAAGAGTTAAAATCGAAACTGGCATACGTGCAGAACGATTTGGCGAGTCTTCAAGAAAGGTTAGCCTTATCGGAAGAAGATAAAATGTCTTTAAAAGAACAATTATTAGAATTAGAAGAAGCGGAAAACGATGCTCGATTAACCGGTCAAAGGTTGCAAGAAAAATTAAATTTAGCCGCCGAGAAAGAAAATCAACTTCGGAGTCAACTGGAAAAGCTCAAAAATCCTCCGGACGAATCGTTTAATCGGTCCGAATATCAAGACATGACGAGAAACGAACTAGTTTCTCAAATAGGGTACATGGCGGTTTTAATACAGAAATACGAAGATCACATACAAACTCTGGAAACGTCCAAATTAAATCTGCAGCAGAGAGTTTGTTGTTTGGAACAGCTTTTAAAATCTGCCGAAGCTCTTACCAGCGCGTTTAACAATCGTTTGGACGTCAAAGAAGAGTTCGTGCTACCAAACGATTATCTAAATGTGGAATTTTATAAAAAGTCAAGTGTCGGTCTTGCAGTTTCTACGCAGACCGATTTTAACACGGATAATATCTGTGCTTTTTGTAATTCGTTTCTAATTCCTCCCGAAATTCCCAAACTTTCCGAGTGTTCTACCCCCGTCCAGCAAGAATTATTACAGAGATTGCACGTTTTAGAAAAGGAAGATCAGACTTTGCGCGAGCAACTTCATCAGATGGACGGAATGAATTTGGCATTGTGGAAGAAACTGCACAAGTTGGAGGCTCACGTGGGAAAATGCCTGAAGAAATACACAATAGAGTATTTTCTGGATGATGGCCCAAGCCAAGGGTTATCCGAATTATTAGAATTAAACGAAAATGAAAACATCTGTGTGGAGAAACAGAGTTGTAGTGTCGACGATCGGCCCGCTTTGTTGCCCAGTGCCAATTCGGATCAGCACATTCTTCAAAGAATTCTCTCTCTGGAAAGTAGCGAACAGAAACTTAAGGAACGCCTGCTACAGTTAGAATGTATTAACCACGAATTTGAAAAAGAATTGGAAATTAGAGAGAGACTATACAAAGAAAAGGAAATTCAACAGCAGAAATGGCTGGAAATTGAAGATTCTTTCAAAGAAACTATAAAGAATTTGGAAAACGAAAAGATGTGTTTGCATAACAAAGTCTTAGTTTTAGAGGAAGAAAAGCTGCAACTGCATAAAAATATAAATAATTTACAGTCGGAACTCGAGGCGCTGAAGAGCAATCACGATAAATCGTTGAAAGAACTAGAATTAAATCGTCAGAAGGCGTTAATTCAATTGGAGAAGAAACAACAGAACTTCGGAGCCTTAGAGGCTAAACAGGTGCAGAGAATGACGGAATTGGAGCACGAACAGAAAAGTATCGGCATAACTTCCAAAACGTTCGAGATCGACTTGGAAAAGTATAATTTAATAACGTGCGAATTAGAAATGTTGAAGAAAGATCATCGCGTGTTGAAAGAGAGTGCGAAAAAGAATAAAGAAGAGATCGAAACTCTTACGAAAGACTTTGAATTTCAGTTCGACATGCTGAATAAGCTACAAAGATCCAAAGAAGAAAAGTTAAACGGCGAAATCGATCATCTGTTAAGCAAAGAGAGAGATTATAATTCAAAAATTATCGAAATGCTGGAGAAACAAGCCATTTTAGAACAAGAATTACTAAGTAAAGAATCGGAGCTGGAACAAACCAAGAAAGAATTCCAACATCAGATGAAAATGTTAGAAGAAGAGCACCACGTTATAGAAGCGGAATTGAAATGGAAGTTGAAAGAGATGGAAGAGAATGCGGCTATTACCGTTAAAGCACTGAAAGAAGAAAAGAAACGATTGGAAAACGATTTGCAAGCCGATCTGGAAGATCTGCACGCCAAAGAGGAAGCTTATAAATTACGCATTTCCGAACTCGAATCCTTCGTAGAGCAGCTCAGAAAAGAAGCAAACCAGATTACAGAGGCAAACGGTTCGAAATGCAAGGAGGAAAAATTGGGAATTCAGTCCGAAAACGTGTTACTTTTGCAAAAGTTAAGCGAGTTTCAGAAAAACGAGAAGGAATTAAAAGAGAAACTGATAGATATGGAAAAGAAAGAAGAAGCTTACAAGGAAACTTTAGAACACGCGGAAAAAATCATCGCTACCTTAGAAAAGGACTACAACGAGAAAATCGACGAACTGGAATCGTCGGAACGATCGCTGAAATTGAGAATAAATCAGTTGGAAGAGGTAGAGAATTGTTTTCACTGCAGTCTGGACAAAGAAAAGAGGATGTCGGAATTCAGAAAGTCTAATAACTTGATAGAAGAATTGTTAGAAAGCGAAATGAGGGAAGCCGCTTTAAAGGAGCAAATCCTAGATTTGGAATCTAATCAGAGAAATCTCTTGCAAAAATTGCACGAGATGGACAAAAATAAAAAATATTTACAGGAAGAGTTAGGCAATCACGAAGAAATGATTTGTAAGGTGGAAAAGTTGCAGCGACAAGTGGAATTCCTAAAGAAAGAATTGATTTCGGTGCAGAATTCCGAAAAAGCGTTACAAGAAACGCTTCAGCAGGCCGACGACATTCTAATTCAGAAAGAAGAAGACCTGAAACAAGACTTGATGCGGGTGGAAGAAGAAAAGAAGGAATTAGAAGAGACTATATTGCAGTTAAGAAAGCAAGTTAAAGAACTGGAATCCATGCTGGAGAAGTCTGAGTTCGAAAAATTATCCTTTGGAGAACATCTCTACAATACGGTGGGAAATTCCGATATAGAAGAGGAATTTGTACAGAAAACTTACGAGGATCGTCAGAAAGCAGAAAATATTGGGACAGAATTAAACTCGAGAGTAAGTATATTTTTCATGAAAGTATTCGAACCAAGACTAATTTTCAATTTCCATAATTATTGGTATGCTGTTTCATTGGAGAAGTAAATTAAAATCCGATGAGTCAAGAGGCTTAAAAGTTATTGAGACTTCGTCTTCAGAGGTGATGCATAATTAATAATTAAAATTAAAACAATAAAAGTCCTTAATTTAAATTCTTTCAAAATCTTTGTTCCAAATTCTGAACGCTATGGAAGACAAATGGCAAAATTCTGATGACATTTCAATATTTAAAAATGCTCGTAGCTATTTCCATATTCTGTTTGGTTTAGCCTGGTCCATGATGCATAAAAGATGCAGGCAGGGGATGGGGGTCGGACTGCACGTGAAAAATTCACCCAATTGTCAAGAGGTAAGAGTTAGGGATGGTTCTTTTCCATCATCCCTAACTCTGTGTTGAGGCCCACTTCTCACCCAAAATGTTTATTGAACTTCAGGAACTTTGGCCCTGGTAATGTTTTCTTTTCCGTCACTAAGAGGTTTCAATTACAGCTAAAAAGTTTCTGGCTGCCAATCTATACGTAATAAAACTTCCTCTTTCGTTCTTCCTACAACCATCAGGGCAGGAGGTCAAAATTTCTTCGTTTAATCTTTTCTCTCTTTTATTTAATTTTGATACAAAGCTTTTTTTCTGTGATGTTTTATTTCTCTGTTTAATTTTTGGCAGAAAAGTATTACACGTGACGACGAAAACAATCCTTATTCGTTATGTGTGGAATTCAACAATGTCGGTCGCTTACAAATCGAAACTTTGTCGGACATGTGCCAAAGGGTGTTGGGGAGGAGCCAAAATTCGACGCGGGAAGAACCTCGTCCTTTAGAAAGAACCGATTCTTATTTTGACGAAGTGGAAGAAGACGCCGACGATGATTTAAATTTTGGCTGCATGAGTCCTGAACTGGACATCTGTCGGTCAGAAGCGGATGGGATTTCTCCTGTGACGTGGTCGAGGACGCCCGGAATAGTATCTCTAGAAGATTTGACTACGGGTCTGGAGGCTCAACTGCAATTAGAACAATGTGTTTTAAGAGCAGTAGCTTCCATGGAGAGAGAGATGCAATTAAAGGTATGTTCTTCACATTCAAATTAAACATTTGAACCAATTAATGTTTATTTAAACATGCATAAACAATTGAGTAATTAAAAAATAAAAGATAAAGGAACCAAAAATAAACTTTTGCTTGACAGACAACATAAACCGACATCTTGCAAATTTATGGCCATCCTTATGATGATTTCACATTCAGTAGGGATGGTGATAACAAAGAAAAAGATCCTTTATAAGATTCAAGTTGCTTTTATATCCTCACAAAAAGTGAGAGTAAGAATTTCATTGTAGGCTCCTCCGGTGGAACTGATCAAAAACATAAGAATGCCACAATATGTTGTCCTATTACTCTAACAGAGTAAGGTGTGATCCAGGCTCAGATCTTAAAAAATTTTTATGGGTGATTTGACATGGATATATAGGACCATATATCTCAATTATAAATTTAAATGCATTAAGTAGTTCTTTAATCAAATTTCCTTTTAATGATTTCAAATACAGTATTAAAGACATTGTAGGCTAGACACCTTGCTTTTTAATCACTCTACAACCCTCTGCTGTTAAGTACTATATTTATTTTATCTCACTGTGGTATTATGCAATTCAAATTGTATTTTCTTGAATTTAACTTCAATTTACTACACCTCACCTACAATAATATAGTTTACTTAAGAACAGTTTTTATGAAACAATTAGGCCACAAATGCTAATCTATAGTATAAAAACTATTTGACATTAGATTTAGTATATGTCTCTTTAATCCGAATTAGTAAAAACGGTAGACTTTCTCTCAACTATAAGGTTAGGTACTCCTTTATTGCAAATAACAAATGCATTTAGGGCCTATATGAGCCCCTATATATATAAGGAGTACCTAACCTTATAGCTGAGAGAAAGTCTACCGTTTTTACTAATTCGGATTAAAGAGACATATACTAAATCTACGTATTCATCAGCTACCACACTGGATATTGAGAAGAACTATTTGACATTAGCTAAATTATTATTTATAATTATATCTTTGTATATGTATAAAATATTTTTCAGGAAGCATCCAAAATTTTACCAGATGATACTATTTCTGGCAACAATGATAGTTTACATACAGAAAATGTGGATATGGGCGATTCTGGCATGACTTCGACAAATGATCTTATTTCCGTAAGTCTAATTAAACATGACAAACAAGAGATTCTACATAAGTCCAGTTATTCAAAAATATAATACAGTAATAATATACTGTATATTTACATATTAATGTATCATTTAATTGTATATTTCTTAATATTAATGAGATTAAATTTTAATTTTATAGAAATCCGAAATAACAACAGTACAAACTGAACTGCACCAACAGCAGTCTGGTAAGTCGACAAATATAAATCTGTGTATGTGCTGCTTATGCTTGAAAATAATACAAGTAATACATATTTATTCAAAAACATTTTTTAACACTAAACATAAATCATAAAAATGTTTTAAAATGACAATTGTAATGTTTTGATATTGAAAAAAAGAACTGTTTACATGTTCCTCCAAATATCTGCATATGTTCAAATTAGAAAATTCCAGTTTATATTTCCTTATAAACTGGACTACTTGGAGGATTCAGGTTTAAATCTTATCTGGATCTTTCAATTTATTATGGATAATTTAGATCTCTCCAGATATCATTCCCTATTCCTTTCCATGCTCATCCTATTCCAATTCAACCATGTCTGTAATGGGAAAAGTTTTGAAAAGATAAGATATACACCAAAATTATAAAGGAAAAGCTGTTTTGGTGTTTTCCCTGTTTAATGTATAAGTTATATGCTTAGCCATAATTTTGTCCTAGATAAAATCATGGCTAAGCATATAACTTATACATTATAAGTATTAATTGTACCTAATGTCACAAGTCTATTTGTAAACTTTGTCACTGAAGAGCAGAAGTGTGGTCTTTCTTTAATACTTCTGCTAGTGAAATAGCATTGTAAGTGAGTTGTTACAGAGCAGATCACAGCAATTGCATTTAAACAATGACAACTCTAAAATACTTTTTAGTTGTGACAGATACGTAACAAAAAGTAGGCCAATATTCTCCGACTGTTAAGAATAACTATACATTCATAAAACTGTAATAAAAATGGTTTAATCTGAAATGGTTAAAATTTTGATAACTAGAAAAAAAGTAGTTTTTCTGTTTCAGTTTTTTAATTGTATCCTAACAAAAGAATAAAGAAACTTTTTGTTTTTATGTTGTCTTATATTGATCTTTTTTACAAGTAGGACTTATTTATACCGATGTAGTTTTTGATTAGTAAAAAAAGAGACTGATCAGAAACTACACCGGTATAAATAAGTTCTACTTATAAAAAAGTTCAAGTAGACATTTTACTTTTTGTTTAAGGACACAGAGGTAAAAAGAAAACTGTTTACTCTTTCTGCACTGTGTGCACTAAGAGGGTATTTTTATTTTGTCCGTCGTAGGTTAGGCAGATCTCGAGACCAATGCCGTCCAGAAAAGTGTCTGGAATATTTTGCCCAACTATATTTGCGCCAGATCCCTCAGAATGGCTGGAAGACACCCTCATTCTGGCTATCAATTTTTATAAGTTATGCATGTTAAAATTGTTTCAGAAAGTTATTCAGTACATAATTTTTATCTCAAAACACTACTATTGATAGATTAAATTTATGTTTATTACTGATGCCTTTAATCAATGACACAATTCAAAACAATATATTTTTTGAGGATCTAGAAGACCTCAAGTGATAATTGGTGATAGGGTCAGTGGGAATTTTTTCAAGGATTATTGTATTTACAACTTTAATTGCAGAGAACTTAAAACTATTATTTGAATGCTGTTTATTAATTGTATGTTTTTCTCGCTGCTGCAAATGGTATTTATCTAGGTCGTAATATATAGAATTGATTCTCAGATAAATTTATTACAAAATAAATTTTTATTAACTAGTACATAAATCACATACATAAATCTATATTATCAAATGTTACAATTTCTTCAATGGAAGGCTTTGAGATATTACTTTTTATTATTTAATTGGTGCATAATAGTAATTATATCATTGAACACAAAGCTGTAATTAGATAAGTCCATTTGGAGATGGCATTGAACATCAGGCACTATTATTTACATCCACTTGGAGATGATTTTTTTTATTAATTCTGTCCACTCTCTCTCTCTCTGAACACTGATGATTTGTTTTCCAAGCCCATTAAGACTAAGCCTACAATGACAAGGGACAATACCCAGCAGATTACAACTGTAAATAAACAATATACATATAATAAAGTTAAAAAAATATTAAATATTAACAGTAGCCCAGATTATACATTAAACAGATGAATACTACTATATTCAATGAAATTATTGCAAACTTTTAGCATCAAAGTAGATATTTAATCAACTTTTCTCTTTTACTTTAGATGTTTCTAAGTAATTGATGACATTGTGTATCTTTAATATCAAATATTATAGTAATTTTATTGAATTTAACCTTAAAAGAGCCATACCTGGCTGCTTCATTTAAGTTTTTAATGTAAAAAACTTTAACATGCTAGATTAAAGCACTTGAGCTTGGCATTTGTGAGAGAAATAAGTTTATACTGTAATTTATTCCTTTAATTTTGTAGACAATTTACAAAATTAATATTTTAAATTAATATATTCCAGCTAATCCTCTTCCTCCAAGTAATTTCTGTATATTGCGTCAAATTGGTAATCACGGTCTCTTAGTCAGTTGGACGACACCGAAAGAAGGTTGTCAAATAGGAGGTTACCAAGTAAGAAATCCAGGATAAATAGTTTGCCATAAATCTTTATAGCAGGTTTAAATAGTTTTATGTTTTCAGATATATGTTGAAGGAAAACTTCATCAGAAAGTGCGAAGTCCGGAATGTACCAAAGTGATTCTGTCTAAACTAAATGTTTTCCAACCGCTGAACATTGGTATATATTCCATATCCACATTAGGGCACACGTCGGAGCCTGTGTTCGCTTTTCATCCCGGTTCTTCGCAACTTGCTATAAATAACAATAATGTACCATTTATGGTAACATATTTCTTTTTATTATACATTTTATTCTCATTAAATAAATATATCTGATAGAATTTGTTCTGATTACAGTGCAGGACGGAACATAGTTGTGTATTGAGGATATACGGAGAAGATAATGAGTGTCGGGAATTTTCTGTACAGAAAGGAAGTAATGTACTTGTAACCGGTGTTCCTGATGATGATGGATTTTGTACAGTAAAGGTATAGAAGTGTCAAAATATAGTAATTAATTTAATGAATTATTTTAAACTTAGTAGTAACTGTGAAGGTTAGTGCAAAATTAAAATTTACCACAAAGGCAGACAGGATATGTTAAAAATAATAATTGATATATTTTTTACAAGTAAACAATTTTGCATATATATACAGATTCTTCATTGGAAATTCCAACATCACGATATATTACAATAGCATGCGAAGTTATCGCTAGGACAATAGTTCATTATATCCAAATGTGCGGTACCAATCCCGATTGTGATAATATGAAGCTCAACCTTAAAACTAATCTTATACATTAACTTAACAATAATGGAAGGAAAAGATAGATACAATAGAAACAGGGATATCCTGGATTTTGTTCGGTGTATTTGCACTATGTGTACTGCTGGAAAGGATACCACACGATATTCTCCAAAAATTTGACTCGTTTTCTTCTTCTTCTTCTATGCTTAAGATTTTTCCTTTCACTGTTGTCGGTTCTACCTTAAAACTGGACCCCTTCTCTTAATGTACTTCCAAGATCTCTGGTTGTTGCTAATGTAACTCGGAGCATTCTCCTTACGTCCATATACTTCACAGTCTAGCAAGAGAATGCCTTGTCCGTTGTCTGTTTGTCCTCAGGGTCCTGTTCACTCTTTGTTCCTCATATTCCTCAGAACTGGTCATCCCACCCAAGGGACAGGGATTTAGGTAAGAAAGTTCTAGAAGGAAATAGAACAATAGGACAAAGGGTAGAAAGAAGAGACTAAATTAAACTTAAATTAATATTTGCAAAAATATAGTGTACAGCTACATAACCCTCTTGATAGTCTTTGTAAACTTTGCTTGCTTTCCAAGAACTAGAACTTTAGATTTTCCACCTAGGGTGACAGTTTAGAAAGGAAAAAGAGCATTGCATATGTGCCAATAGACTGATATGGGCTGTACATATACATATACATGCATATTAAAAACTTCTTCAAACCAGTTTGATAAGACAAGTTATTTAAGTGTTAAGATGGAAAAACATGGGAGTAGTGTAAAGTGCAAAAAAAAAAAACTGTTATGCTGCTAAATCTCCCAGCAACTACTTGCCATGAATGACCAGATTCTACAGATAACAAATCCATTTTTTATATGGATGGATATCAAGATGAATTTTTTGGCAGGTGATCTTATAAATTGATCTCTAAAGCTATTATCTTCTTGTGTAAAAAGCATCCTAAACCCAAACCCAAACTCAGCTGTAGTTTTATTAATTTCAGAGAGAGAAAAAATCTTTTTTATTCTGTTGTATTCAATTTCTGGTGGTCTGAGGATTGTCATTTGAAAAACAGTTCATTTCCTTGCTGCTAATAGATTTTTAGTGTTTATGGACATAATTCTTTTTGATTTACCAATCTCCCACCTCTGTTAGAATTTTGCAGATTCTGGTAACTGTCTAAATTCTTAAAGATCACAGTGTTATTAAAAGTGACAAATCCAAGGAAAGGGCAATTAGAAACATGTATCCCATTTTTTTAAGATTATTATTAGTCATATTTATAAAAGCAGATTATACAAAATTTGACAATAAAAATATTCAATGAATTACATTTAAAAATTCCTTTGATGTCAAGTCAATCAGAACCACATGCTACAAATGAAATAACAATATCTGAGATAATTTGATGTATCATTTTTCTAATATCAATTTATTATATTTTACACTGACTTGCAATATTCCCTTTCATGTTGACTTTTATTAACAATAGACTGCAATTCCCTGACAATTATGAGTCACAAAGATGCATGTAAACAATCCATTTTCATTGTCTTATTCTAAAATAAGTTAGTTCTAATATTAACTAAATTAGAGAATGAATGGAAGGATTTTGTTAGTATTGGATCCTTTTTTCTTTGTTCAGTGAGGTGGGCACCAGTTAATATGAAAAATTTAATCTCACCACATGGATGACTTTCGACGAGATGAAAATTCCACTCTTAACCTTTCTTCCATTTCTCAATATCACAAAAAATTTGAGCACTACTCTCCTATGTCCCCTCTGCATAGATCCTCCTTTGTCAGTTCTCCTTTCCATGTGCCTTTCACTCTGCTGGCTTGCTCAAGAATGACAAAAATCATCCTTATACTTCTTAAACTTGGTAAGTGATGATAACCCTTCCAGCTCAAAACTTGCCAGGAAGTAAATATTTTGTGGTTGCAAGGATTAAACAGTGGGAAACAATAAGGTTAGTTGGATAAATGTATAAATCACTAAGTTACTAAATAAGAATAAAAGGACATCCACCCCCTTCTGAATGAAATAAGGGGGTTCTTCAAAGCTCTTCCCGCTTACCCTGTTCTAGTCTGCGGTGACTTCAACTCAAAATCCCCCATCTGGCATAATCCCATTCAAGATCCGAGGGGCTATGCGGTGAGTGAGCTGATAGCGAAACTGGTCTTCCAGTCTCTTAACTCCAGCCTACTGCCCACTTTCTCTAGTAGCAATGGGAACAGCTGGATTGACCTGTGTTTGGGAAACTGCAATTCAATGGAATTCAATATTAGTTGTCAAACACTGGATTACATCTCGGCTAGCGATCATGCCTATATCTTGACCTATATCTCTGGCATAAATTGCCAGGCAAATCTTAAAATGCATAACCTCACCAACTGGGACCTGTTTCCGGACCTCATCAAATGGCATTGGGATCCTACTGGGCTAACATCCATCACCTCCCACCATGAAATCCACTTTGCTGTCGAGCAGCTTCAAATTGCAATCATCATGGCATATTCCCAGTCCACAAGGATCAAAATCAGTAAGCCCTCAGCCCCTGGTGGAGCAGTGAGTTAGACACCCAAAGAAAAAAGTACAGGCAGGTAAGAGACCCTCCAACAAGCAGCACTTACACTGAATTTTCCAAAAGCATCTCAGGGACTATAAAATCCTGATGAACTGCACAAGGAGAAATGCATGGAAAAAATTCTGCACAGCATCTAATGACAGGGGTCCTGGACAACTCTGTACTACACGGCAATCAAAAAAAAGGAAGCCTCTTGCAACTCCAGCAACCATTCCTGACTCTCACAGCTTCACCAACTCACCAGAGGACACCTAGACACCTATAGGAGAATATTCTCCGAACTTTTTCCCTCTGACAACACCATCGAGAGATGAGGAAACAGAGTCTGGACATTTTATCTCAGGTCAATGACAAGCCTTTCTCTGTCTTGGAGGTTACACAGCAATTCAACAACATCAAGAAGCAGAAAGCCCCAGGAACAGATGCCATCACCTGAAAGATGTCCCTGCAGGCATATGCTATTATCCCCACTACTTTTTTGGTATTATGAATCCTATACCACCTTAAAGCTAACAACACTCTAAATTCCAACCAGTATGGTTTTATGAAAGGGAAAGCCACTCACCATGCTTTGGATAGGGTCATCAAATATGTGCAAAATGCCAAACAAAAGGGCAACCACACTATTATTATCAGTATTGATTTCAAGGGGGCCTTTGATCACGCCTGGTGGCCAGCCATCCTGGCCACCCTTTCTAGGGCCCACTGCCTGGTCAATATCTTCTAATTAATGACAGGATGCTCTTAGATACTTCAATGACAGGAAAGCTCTAGCAATTGATAATCATAGAGTCCACTATTTCCAGGGGATGCCCACAGGGGTCGAAGTCAGGACCCCTCCTGTGGAATATCTTATATAACAGAATCCTCAACATTTCCAGGTATGCCCCCCCAGATGGTAACCCTTATGTCCAGGGCTATGCAGACGATACCATCATTCTGCTATCCCATCAGAATCAAGAAGTGCTTCAGGACTACACAAACAATTTCCTGAAATCAGTCTATAACTGAAGTCAAGAAAATTATCTTCTCATTAATTATGGAAAATGCAGCACAATGGTCTTCCCTAAGGGAAATCCCCTCAAGAAAAGGCCCTCCATCTGGATTAATGGTCAGAAAATTCAACACACAAACACCATTAAATATCTCGGAGTTCTCCTGGACCCAAAACTGTCATGGAAAGACCATGTAAACTACTCCTATGACAAAGCTATTACTGCAAGTCATAAACTGAGATCCATTGCCAGGAATTGTTGGAGCTTGGACAGCACCAACAGCAAAATCATTTACAAATGCGTTGTTGAACCCATCCTCACCTATGGATGTGAGGTTTGGGGTTACACAGCAAACAGGACATACATCCGAAGGAAACTCCTTTCTGCCCAGAGGGCCGCTGCAATAGCAGTCACTAAATCATACATCACCGCTCCTACGGACGCCCTGTTGGTGAACGCTGGCCTGATTCTGGTTAACCTTGTGATCATCTATAAATACATTAAGAATCTCGTGGTGAACATGAACTCCTCCAACACCAGCCAAGAGTATATTCACAAGGCTGTTACCAATTACAATCTACTTGACCAGATCCACCCACTGGTGGATGAGGTCCTAAAGCATGGCCTTGATCTCAATGTTGATCAACCCATCATTCACTCTGCCAACCAGATCATCTCTAATTTTGACCCCCACCCCCTCAAACCCCTGGGGGCTCTGCATGTACACTGACGGCTTAAAGACACCCAGAGCTGTTGGCGCAGCAGCCTGTCTGGAAGATCCACATAAGAAAATCTTTTGGGAAGCGGCATTTAAACTTAAGAACTGCACTAACAACCAACAGTCTCTCTGGCAATTTGGAAAACCATGAAGTGTGTGCAAGACAACATTCAACTGTTTAGGGGTAGAATGATAAACATCATGAGCGACAGCCGTATGGCCCTACAACAAATTAAAAAAGGGGATCATAAACACAATATGACTTCTAACTTTAACACTGCGATGAGTAATAATGATCCACAAAAACCTTTATATAACAGTGTTGTGTCCATTACAATATGCACTAACATTTTTGACCTCCACTGAGGTCTTCTTCAGGTGCTGACTAAGTGGTGTCTCCTCCTGACCGTTGAAACGATGATGTCCGAGATGTAAATAGTGCGTGTATTGCGTTTCACCCCTCCGCTTGTCCCAGTTCGAATTCTTTGAATAAGTATCTCCACACCTGCGCGATCGACTCTCCATCTTTAAAGTTGATGCAGGTGCCCCCAACGTTGGCTTTAAAGATCTCCCAGGCCTCCAGGTGACGGATGTGATCAATATGAAATGCCTGTCTGATTACTTTGGTGTTTTGGAAATCCACCTGAATTTCAGGGTCGGTAACATAGACCTACAAGACGGTGGTGTGCTTGTTATTTTTAATATCTGATTGATGCTCATGTAACCGTTTTTGTGTTGAGTGATGGTGGAGGCAATGTAAACTAAGTCTCTATGGAATCTATCATCCCTGATGGGATTGGAGTATACCCCTGGGGCCCTGTTGAGATCTATCCTGTCCTTAGTGTTGCACAGCAGGTCATAAATAGTGCTGGAATCATAAACTCCCCATCATCCACAACTCTCTGAATATCATCAAGGCACTCAAAGGTGCTGCTTCCATTCATTTCTACTGGGTTAAAGGACACTCTGGCAACAGGGGCAATGAAAGGGTAGACAGCATTGCTAAGAAAGCACACAAGGTGGCCTCTCACCTCTCCTACTCCTCTGTTCCAATCTCCTACATATGCAGTGAACTTTCAGCCATTCTTATGTCATGGTGGCAAAGGGAGTGGGACAGCAGTTCCACTGGGTGTATCACCCACAATTTCCTCCTGACATTACACATAGGTCCAACCTCAAACACCTGAGCACAAATCATGCTTTTACCCAGTTATTAACTGCACATGGGAACTTCAAATGTTACCTGCACTGCTTCCTAAAAAAGGGAGACAGTCTCTGTGACTGTACCTTCAAAGAAAAAAGATGACCCATTCCATCTCATCTTCACCTGTTCGAAACACACCATGCACCACAAACATCTGAAAGAAATGTTAACAAAAAAAGGTCACCACTAACCTGCCACCTCAGTGCCTTTGTCGAAGACAAGGACACGTTTATGACTTTCATTAACTATGTCAACAAACTCCACCTCATGGACTACAATCTTCCAGCATCTAACACAGTCTTTTCTCCAGCTCCCTGACCTTCGAGCTCTCAAGACTGTAACCTGACAGTATCAGTCCACCTACTCCATTGTACCCCACTATCAAGGTGCCTCCCTGTTCATACTCTCTTTGGGATCTTGAGTCATTGTTCTCCTGCTATTTGTCATGCCATTGAAAGGTGCCCACTTTACTCTCTGTATCCTACATGCGGTCATTTAATCCAATCTTGTTAATTATAAATTGTCTCTCTGGACAGGCAGTTCGCAGCAGGCGCCTTTGTTTCTCCTTTTCCCCTTCACTCTTCACTCCACCCTATCTCCATCCCTCCTTCTTCCCTTCCTTCTGGTTACACCTCCAAGTTAAGGCCATTTTCTTTACAAACTATAAATAAGAATAAAAAAATAATAATCTTGTAATTATAATAATAATTGCCCACCACAACATGTTAGGGAAAGTGAAGGCAAGGGATATTGCCCTAGTGGATTGTTACAATGAAAATCTAGTAAAGTGTAGATCAAAGAAAGATTATTAATTAGAAAGGCAAAAATGTTTACATGAGGAAATTAATTTTATGATAAGAATCTCATCATTGTGCTTTAATTGTTTGTTTCAAAAGGTAAATAAATGAATTTCAAGCTATTAATGGCATCCGGTTGAATTATAAAAATGGTTTTAACAGTTGATGTAGAAACTTTGTAAATACAAGTTCTAAAATTTTTTCCACCATCTTGGATAAATGTAGTTCCAAGACAACAGAGTCTACATCACTTATTTGCATGATTAGTCATGAATTTTCAAACACTCATTATTCCAATAATTTGAAAAATGCTAGTTTCTTAGCATAATGTTGCCATTGAGAACATATCACACAGGAACACTTTCAGAGGAAAAAAGTTGTTTTATTGGTGTGAACGGATATGCATTTCGGGCTTAACGCTCCTCTTCAGTCCTATTATTGCATATTTTATCAGTAAATTGATTACAGGTTTACAAATTTACAGAATGCATTGAAAAAATTAGGATATGCGTACAATGGTTTATATAATACAACTTAGTTACCTGAGATAGTGACAGTTAAACCAACATGACTCGTAAGAAGAAATACACATAGTTGAAAAAGGAAGGAGCTAAAAGATCATTTGACTCCACACACATACACATTAGGATAGTATAACATGTGCTAAAATAAAACACAAGGGGTGAACTTAAATCTAAAATTAAGTATATATTGAGAGGTGAAATTTTTTATACTTAATTTTAGATTTAAGCTGAGTAATATTTACTTACCAAGTTCTGAGAATTTTCTGGGATCAGATCTAAATCTTTTTAACTTGCAGGAGAATCCATTTTTAACCATTCTGCATGAAATAAAAAATTATTGTAGAACTAACAGAGAAATACTTTAGCATTAAGTTCTTATAGTAATTATTACTGCTGTTTTATTTTTATCATCATATATCACATGTTTTAACAGTTCATAACAGTTTTTGATAAGATTTAAGTCACACTAATATTTCATTTAATTAATTCAAAACAGTTTCTCTTCTTTAAAGATACTTCACTCATTATTTATTCATTTATAGGATTCAAGAAAACTATTTAAAGCTTGTCAGATATAATAATTCACTATTTTTATAAACATAAAAGAAACAAAAATATTATTAATGGTTTGAATGCTGATGATTTGCATCACTATTTATTTAGATCTGCAAATGAGCCATTTACTAATAATCAGTTGTAGCTATCCTATCTAGAATCTCTAGCAAGAGTTAGTCAAAGCAATTATTTGAAAATTAATTCTTAGCTGCAACTTAACTGAACAACACACAGAAATACAAAATATGTATGAATCCACTGTAATTGATATTTACGTTCAACCAAGCCAACCTGCATACTTTTCCAGCAGTGATGTATATGATTTACGAATGTTTTTGACTACATTCACTAGTCTGCTTCAGGTCAAACTGAAACTTTATTTTTCAAAAAATGGAATGCCTCAATGTTTTTTAAATTATGTGATTGCCTTATCCTGTTCGACGACATATGTTCCAAAATTAACGATTTAGAACATTGAGGCATTCCATTTTTTGAAAAATAAAGTTTCAGTTAGACCTGAAGTAGACTAATGAATAGTTGAAAGCATTCATAAGTCATCTACTTCACTGCTGGAAAAGTATGTAGGTTGACTTGGTTGAATATAGATATAAGTTCTAGCTGTTAGAAGGTATAGTACAATTTACAAAGTCATACTACTGGCTTTTGCAATTTACTTAAATATTTTTATTGAGTTAAAGCAGAAACTAAATAACCTTGAAGCTTGTAGATAGTGTGGAATGTGAAGTGGAATACGGTGAGAAGCTTGTCTAGAATATTTAAATAGGATTGCTAACTGACTTTTCAGCTGTGAAACCTTCTTAATCTGAAAATCAGAGAAGTATATGAATAATAAATATTGAAAGTAGATTATTTAAACAGAATGCAACAATTAATTATATTAAATTAATTAATAATTTTGTTTTTTTGGACTCTATGCAATTAAATTATTCTTAAAAATACAGTAATTCAGAAACATATATTTTGATATTTGAAATGAAACACTGGCTAAAGATTGACCAATATTACCAATGAAAATACAATCTAAGAACAATGGTTAAGTATTAGACCAATATTGGATTCTCTTGTAGCACAAATGATTGTTTTTTTTTTGAATTTATTTAAATTTTCCTACTGTATTTTTGTATTAATATTCTATTAAATGTATTTTAGAAATGATATCAATTAACCCTTTAATTTGGTTTTGTTTGTACTCATTTGACTTTTATTTTCTTAACAGATTGAAAATCAGGAAGGAAAATTACCTTTTAGCGTGTTGAAAGAAGTTGAAAATTATTGCTTTGGTAAATGTGTCAATTCTTTATCTTTTTTTTTTTTTAATTTTAAAACATGATTTTACAAATTAAATTATAAAAAAACCTAAATATAAGTTAAAATTTCCAAAAAAAAATTAGTTTTTTAGTTTTATTTACTGAAAAAGAAAAATGATATTGGAATTTAGAACCAGGTATATTGGATTTTAACATCTTCCAGTTCATTAGGAATATGCTTAAACAATAAATTTGCATCATTTTTTAAATTTAGAGAACAATATAACCAAAGAACAAAAAAGTTCAGGCTCTGATTCTAAACAGAATCACATTATATAATATACTGGTAACACTCATTCCCAAAGTAGTTTATATCTCACATATATTGGATAAAGAAATGAAAATTTTACTTGTGATGAATACACTTTACAGCCTCACAATCCTTCTACACTTTGGGAGAAATACTTAAATGTGGGAAGATCTTATTTAATGCAATTAATCTACCAGTTAATGTGTGTTAAGTGAAATCATGCTAATTGAATATAACAAATAATTATTATATTTAGTTAGCATTTCATTTTACAATTAGAATTATCCCATCAGTTTACCTAAATTTAAAAAAGTATATACAGTAAAACCTGTCCGACACAGAAGTCGTATGAAGAATATAGCTTAACCTGGATAAAGTGGAAAATTAATATTTCATTTGTAGGAGAAATAAGTAAAATGGCCATCAGGTATCACAACAGAGCATAGCAAACTATATTCTGAGAACAATTTGGAACGTTTTCAGAGAAATGAAGGTTATGTGAAGAGACATATGAACACAAGGTCTTTGTTAATATTAATCTTTGATGGGATTAACCAGGAGCAGAGTTGAATCAGTTTCTGTGAATGAAGATTAGAATTTTTGATGAAAGAGCAATACGCTAGTTTTCAGTACTTGAACTTGCTTGTTGACTGTCATGTAAATTCATAAGGGTTGCACAAAGTATTTAAATACCTACCATAAGTTATTGGGAAACAAGAAAAACATTTTGCAATTGAATAGTTCTCAATTTTTGCAATTGAATGACGCCATGTTTAGTTGGATTCATTTGGATCAAGCCTAGTAATAAAATATTATTTATTAACCATTTTTACATACATGCCACACAGTTCAGTCTTTTTTTTATCTGGTGTAGTCAGAGCCGGCCCTACCATAGGGCGAACGGAGCAGCCGCTCCAGGCGCTAAGTCCTAGTGGGCGCCTAAGTGGTAAAGAAAATTAAAGGGTATGAATTAGGGGCAACAAAGGGGGGCGCCATAATAGAATCTCGCTCCATCCTACAACTTGCCTTGGGCCGGCACTGGGGTGTAGTTTATAGATAAAAGTATAATACTAAAACCTGTTCAAAATAAAAACCTACCAAATTGGAAAAAATATTTAGTACTGTAAATTCTACTTTACACAGGTTTTACTATATATATAAATGGTTAACATTATATGTATGCATTAAATAAATATTTAAATAATTATTTACATAACACTGTTTAAAGAATTAATTTTCATTAAATAAAAACTGTTAATATTAAAATTACTCATACAATCTATGGTTCTAAACACCTGTTTACTATCACAATCTGTTTATTTTATTTATTAATCAGTTAGTTACCTTAAAGCATAAAGAAAAGAAAAGACAGAAAGAAATTAAACAAGAAAATCAGGAACATCTTTCTCTACCAGTTGTTATATTTTATCTTTAATCAAATTATTATCTGTGAAACATGATAACTAATTCTTGAATGATTAGGAGTGCAACTGTGTTTATATTTGGTTGCTGTGGATAACATAAAACAAGGACTTTCCTCTTCAAGAAATACATATTAAGTTAGCTCAGCCTATAGGAGGAGATATTGATCCCAGTAGTGTAGATATAGTATTTACCTCTCTCCCATCTGACAAGGGTTGAAATCCTTCACACAACCTTCTTGTTCTCTAGCTTGTTTCATTTTACGACCTTATTCCATCCATCCAATCCACTTTGCCCAAACATTGCATTGCCTTATTACAATACAGAAAACTGGCCCCTATTTAGATGTTAGATAAGCAAAGAAAACCTGGAAAATTCTACATGAATGGCTTGTTAGTCAGGCATGAACCTACAACCAACTACTAGTGTTGTTTTTAAATGTCTTATGTTCAATGCAGTTTGGTCTGGTTTTCCTTTGAAGGAAGAATGAAATTATGAAGTGCAGGGGATTTGTATTGTGTTACAGAATAAAAGTAAAATGACATCTTTGGCCAAATGCTATATAGTTCTATCCATCAGCCCAGGGAACCAATAAGACTTGCAAGTACTACCACATTTGTTTTTGTCTGCTTGTCAGGCCTGTAGTAAGGGGGATTTATAAGGCTAAGTCTCCTACCCAAAGCACTCTGCATCCCTGAGAGAAACTGGGGAGTGGAGAAGAAAGCTGGAACTGGACTGATACCTTTTCTGTTTAGAGAAAATCTTTCTCCAGAATATTTGGAGGATAATTCAAGTTAAATTTTTATAGAAAGTTTTTCATTTTAAAGGATCATATAAGGTCTGTTTCAAGTTAGCTTTCTGCCCATAACACACTCCTGCAAGTAGGATAATTTGACGTTAACTATATTTACAGAGTGACACCATAATTTTATGCGAACTACATATCACTCTTTTATATCTGATCATTCACGAGTTAGCTTTCCCATTATAGCATGTCGCACAACCTACACCAGATTCATTATAACGAGTCCCCTTTTTAACAGCATGCCAAGAAGTACTTCAATAAAGCATTTCTTATACATTTGAGTCAGAATCAAAACAATTTTATTAATTCAAAGTCAAATTATTATATTATTTGTAAAAAATGAGCTATTCATATTTTAAGCAGTTAAAAATTGACTGTTGAGATATTAAAGGCAACATTTTGCTTTCTAGCAGTTTGAATCTGGATATATTCAGATTTTTAAAATAATTATTATATTTAGTTAGCATTTCATTTTACAATTAGAATTATCCCATCAGTTTACCTAAATTTAAAAAAGTATATACAGTAAAACCTGTCCGACACAGAAGTCGTATGAAGAATATAGCTTAACCTGGATAAAGTGGAAAATTAATATTTCATTTGTAGGAGAAATAAGTAAAATGGCCATCAGGTATCACAACAGAGCATAGCAAACTATATTCTGAGAACAATTTGGAACGTTTTCAGAGAAATGAAGGTTATGTGAAGAGACATATGAACACAAGGTCTTTGTTAATATTAATCTTTGATGGGATTAACCAGGAGCAGAGTTGAATCAGTTTCTGTGAATGAAGATTAGAATTTTTGATGAAAGAGCAATACGCTAGTTTTCAGTACTTGAACTTGCTTGTTGACTGTCATGTAAATTCATAAGGGTTGCACAAAGTATTTAAATACCTACCATAAGTTATTGGGAAACAAGAAAAACATTTTGCAATTGAATAGTTCTCAATTTTTGCAATTGAATGACGCCATGTTTAGTTGGATTCATTTGGATCAAGCCTAGTAATAAAATATTATTTATTAACCATTTTTACATACATGCCACACAGTTCAGTCTTTTTTTTATCTGGTGTAGTCAGAGCCGGCCCTACCATAGGGCGAACGGAGCAGCCGCTCCAGGCGCTAAGTCCTAGTGGGCGCCTAAGTNTTATAACGAGTCCCCTTTTTAACAGCATGCCAAGAAGTACTTCAATAAAGCCTTTCTTATACATTTGAGTCAGAATCAAAACAATTTTATTAATTCAAAGTCAAATTATTATATTATTTGTAAAAAACGAGCTATTCATATTTTAAGCAGTTAAAAATTGACAGTTGAGATATTAAAGGCAACATTTTGCTTTCTAGCAGTTTGAATCTGGATATATTCAGATTTTTATGCTGGTTGACCTACATATGTTCGGCCCTAACCCTTCCTAATAAGCAAGGGATAGGGCCCAACAGCTGAGGAATTTGTTGTTATTCAGTTTTGAACAAGCTTAATTGATCTAATAATTAAACTTAGATTATCTTAAATAAATAATGCAAATTGCTTAATTTTGTTTTTTTTTAAATTTCAGATCAGCAATAGGAACAATTGTGCCAAATACATCAGTGTAAAGAACAATTTAGAAAAGACCTAAATGAATTGTTTTGTAATTTTATATGTTATTTTTCATTGGACGAAAATTTAAAAATAATTTATAACAACAAAAATAATGCAAATTATTATTATTATAATTTTCTTTTTATATGTAACAAAATGATGTTGAAGACTTTTTTTATTTATTTTAATTGCCATTATGTTATTAATGACAATTTTGTTGATAACAAAATATTTTTTTGTTCTTTTGGAATTGAAAAACTGACGAAGACGAACGATTGTTAGAACTGTTCTTACCTGATACCAGAATGCCTTATAATTGTTACCAAGAATGTAATTTTCTTTTCAGAGTTTGGAAAGTAGTTATAGTTAGTTCCTATATTGTTATGATTAGGAAATTTTTTTACTGTTGTAGAAGAGCTGCTGCCTTTAAAATTCTTTGTTTGAAGCCAAATACCCATTTGAATTTGAGCACTTTTTCCAATCGTTGTTATGTAACATAAAACTTAGTTTTAAGCTTGTTAATACCTTATCCACATTACTTAGGACATGAAAAAGTTTTCTTTTGCACACTGTTGTGTTGTGTTTGAAAGAAATAAATGTTTGTTTAGTCCTTAATATTGTGTGTGAATTGAATTTTATCATTTTCTTACTATATCTTTACATTTACCATCACTAAATTGATATTTGTATATTCGTGTATAGTACAGGTTTCACCAAGTTGATAGAATACTAAAACTTTATAAAATTAATATTTCAATATTAATTATGGTCATTATTAGCATCTTGAATATTGGTCAGTCCAAAAATGTTCGTGCACCCAGATATTTCGTTCCCATCCCTCATTATTGGGTACCCTCCATCAGTCTAACCCAGGCATGGCCAATATACGGCCTGTCTAACGAATTTATGCAGCCCGCGATTAATCTTTCAATATTAGCTACTCAAGTCCGAATAGCTCGATGAAAAATTCTGATGCCTAAAAAAAAAGTCAACAACTCAGTGCGTTTAGAGTTAATGCTCCATTACAAATCTCTTAAGTACGTCCTCTTAGTGCCCACAGGGTGGAAAGAGTAAAAGAAAAAAAAATCTCTTAAGTACAGCGTAGAATGTTGATAATATGAAAAATTTATCTGTAAGCTCTATGTACAATTTAGTCTCTACACGGTATTACCACAATGAGATCTTGCACCACCTCAAAATCTTCCTAGGGCAGCCTTTGGTTTGGCCCGTGAAAAAAGTTCTTTTTCCAATTTGACCCGGGGGCAAAAACTATTGGCCACCCCTGGTCTAACCAAACTTGTGATTGAGTGGAAAGGCCGATGCAGCTAAGGCATTTATCTACTATTCTGCAGGGAATGTGGAATCAAATCTGGATATGCATCATGATTTATGGATGAACATATCCAGATGGGTGGACATAACCAAATCTATGATGGGCATGATAAAATGCCCTTTTAATGCTTGTAGGGTAGAAAGTTCAAAATTAACAATAAATCTGATTATGCTAAAATTGAATTTTTTTAAAAAAAAAATTGCATTTTATCAATTAGAGATTAATTTTCAGAGCACTCCAATTTATAATTTTAAAATCATTGACTTAGTAAAGATGATCATTATGAAGTTGAAGAAAAATATTCAGAAGAACAGCATTTATTAAGCTTTGAAAGAAATATAGCTTTATATAAATTATTATTTACTAAACTTTTGTATTGATAAATGGTAAATTTACACTGTTCAACATTCATAGAAAAATGAAATACTAGCAAACAACCTACTAGATAAGGCATTAAATAGAAAAAGTTTAAATTCCAATTTGTCATTCTAAATTAATGTCAATGAAAAGTTACTTGTAGCCTGGATGACATAAAATATATTCACATTCTGAACACCATCAATGAAAATGGATTACAAAATTTCTTTGTATACCAAATATTAGGTGAAAAATTCAACAGAACCCAAGATGTTTCTAGCCAATTCCTGGCTAACAAGTCAATGGACATGACAATGAACTTAGCAAAAAGTTTCTCATCAACTTCCTATACAAAATGATAGGGAAATTTCAGAAGTTTGGAACGAGATACTTTCAAAAGGGGATCCTTGGATCTGAAAAGGAATTCATTGCACATCTGCAATCCTACCCTTTATCTATTGACACCTAATTCATTCAAGTCTAGCTAGGTGAAGTTCAGCTAACAAAAATCTCCCCAGCTTAATATATATTATAGATATTTGTGGATCCATACATCTCAAACAGAATTTTACGCAATAATAGAAATCTGTAAAACTTCAAATTTCATCTTTTGACTTATCCACATATGCCAAAACTTTCTTAACCATTAATTATTTGATCATGTGCTTTATTATAACTGGAGAGAAGAACGGAAGAAATCTGTAATGTTTATGAAATTATTAAAGAATATTAAGGGAAATTTTAATGTCCACACCTTCATCATCAATTCCTAAGCACTAAGCATTGTAAAGTATTGTAATTGTGTCAAATTTGGATGTCTTTTTTTTTGGCAAATCTCTACGTTTAAGACCAACTGAATCTAAAAAAGTCAAAAGACGAAAAAAATTTATTGATGTGTGTGAGTGGGTGTTGATGTCTATTTTGTTTAATATTTCAGCATGGGATAAAGATTAAAAAACAAAATTTAGCATGCTCACTTGAATATAAGGGGCATTAATGCTATAAAATTTTGGAGTGGGAGGACAGAGATAGTCACGTGCCATCATACCTCACGTGGTATGATGTGAGGATGTATGATCCTTCAGATTGGATTTAAAAAAATTAAAGATGGCGACCTCCATAGTTAGGGTGAGTTTGGAAATTCTGATGTTGCAAGTAGTTACCAAGCCATTTAGAAAGCGTGACCTAAATAACCAACTGCATTTAAAAATCACTGTTATGACGTCACCGGTTGTCCTGTGGTACCTACCGAAGTAATCATGGTGACAAAGCGGTTACAGCAGTTCTGTTGAATTACAAGATGGTGGACACACTGTAAAGTGTGACAAATGTGGCAATTTTAAAAATTTAAAGAAAATATAACAATATTCTGTTTCTGCAACACAAAGTGACCAAGATCAGAAAGCCGTGTCATCCCAAATATCAGATGAGGCAAGACAGCATGGAAAATGGCCAACAAATTCTACGAAATTATTGGTTTTACAGTATAAAACTAAACGAAGATAAATTTTTCTCCGATACTTGTTGAAAATGAACTGGTAGAATTTTTTTCTTTTGATGTACATGTCCAATCATCATTGTCGTATGATTCTGAAGCAATAATTGAGAGCGATGACAAAATTAATATCATTTCCTCTCAACTTTATGCCATGCTGAACACTACAAAGTAACCAGCGTGTTTAAAAATGCGCTAATTGTCCAGAACAATCAGCTATGACCAATGACGTCAGTCACCATTACCACAGGGTTACTGGATAAAATTCCAAATGCACCGTAAGGAACCGAGACCATTGACGAAGGGTCTCTAGCAACATTCTTACAAAATTTCATTACTTTTGCAGCGATGGTTTTTCTGTCCAATTTAGGGTCTAAGGTAAATGTTTCAAAAATTTTCCAACTTTTGATTAAATAAATGTTTACCCAATAACTTTGCAACCATTAAACTGGAGAGCTTCAATAAACACTCTTTGCAAAGATGTTTTCAACTCAGTTAGAATTACATGTATCCAGTTATCAGCCGCTCATTAGGTATCAAGCTATAAGCCCCAATGTATACTGGAAGAATGTATCCCGTAACATATTAAAATTTAACTCTACAGTCATTATGGATAAGATGCTCAAAGAGCTAAAAGCCATTCTGCTTTCCTCAAACTTGATGATGTGACTTTGCCAAATTCCGTCAACTATATGTACAGGCCTCCAAATGACAAATATACTGAAAATTCTGGATACACTTCTGTGAGTTTTTTTATAGGATACTAGGGTAGTCATTTTAAGGCACTTTTGTGGCATTACCTGGCATATGCAATCAGACTACAACTGCAATCATTTACATACATGTTCGAGACAAAACTACATGCTGATATTTGCAGTAATCGGACAATTCTATTTGGACGCATGCGTAACTTTTTTGTCAATTAGTGTAATAAAGAGACTAGTAGAAAATTAAAAATAGAATCTAAATGATCAAGAAGGTAAAGACACCAACTTCTGGAGGATTCTGGTTTGAGTTTGAGACATAACCTAAGAAATTTTCAAGAATGATTTCATTCCGATAAGTCAGGTGCTGGCTGTCCTTATCACTTGGCCTCCCTATTGTGGGTCTAAGCGAACCTATAACGTGTACAAAAAAAAAAAAACTGTAATAATTTAAGGGAGACCACAGCATTTTTTCTCGGTGGAGACAAATGCACGATTAAATTCATTTAACCAATCAATTCATTGAATAAAACAAATTTCATTACACTTAAACTATATTTATGTAACTTCATGACAATGTAAATACATGTAAAAATCCAGCAATGAATTGCACAACTTTTCCTAGAGAGTTTATTTAAAAAATAACTTTATATCATTAACTAGCTGTTACCCATGACTTTGCCTGTGGTGGTTTTGCAAGCAAACCACATTTATATTCAGTATTTCAACAACCATAGTAATTGTTATATAGCACTTACCGCTGAGAATAATGAGAATTGCTGAGAATCAAATGAACTGTTTTCAATTTGATCAATTTTCTGAAACGTTTACAATCATTCTATAATCGAACCAATATGCAATAACAAATTCGAATTTAAAACGGTTCGAACATTCGGTTAAAAAAATCGAAATATATAAAAATATTTATAACAATGTCTAAAATGTTATCGATTTAATACACCTAAGTACTCAATGAAGACTACACATAGTTGAAAGCAAAAAATCGCATCTAAAGTAGTACAGAAGCCATTCTTCCAGTTAAGCCTTAATGCTCTCCCTCTCCCACCGCGGGGGAATTTCGAAAAATCACTTCTTAGTGTGCGTTTTCATGACGTACCCTAAAGCCCTGGTCACAC